TCAGAATCAAACTATTTTCCTTCTATGTATGGTAACATTTTGTGCATTGTAATTAAAGGTAGGTTGGCTGTTGCCAGCTAAAAGGTTGCAGTTTTGTTTTCTCAATGTGCATAAGCATTGAAAACCAACACTGAATCAGAATTTTTATTTTCCTTTGCTTCTTAATTGTAGAATAGCACAAATATTAAAAAGAGATTATGGAAAAAATACATAGATACATTAGCACTTAAAGATATGCAAGTGGTAGAATTTAGCTATGTGCCCTTCTCACTAACATTGACTTGTTAAAATTGGCAATATTCCTCTCATTCTCCTCATGATTTATGACTTCGAGACAGATATTTCCTCAGCACCTTCCCCAGTCCATATTGCTGACTTGTACTTGTGGTTTCAGTGTCTTGGTTGTGCACATACCTGTCTTTCGTCATCCACAGTGTTCTTTCATTATCCAAACATAACCTTTCCTACTAAGCTTTCCTAGATCTACCTAGTGAGAATAAAACCATTTTACTTGTATGCCAGTATTTCCACATTTCAACTAAAGGTAGGAAATGTGTCCTGGAGAGCATGAACCTTTGCACAATCTAGCATCCATTTACTACAGAACCACTTGCAGAGAGCATAATCTGGGAGTGGGAGTGGCCCAGTAGGGAAAAAGTGGGCACCTCCCTCTTGGGTTAACACTCCCACTGGACAGCATGAAAACCAAGACAGAGCACGGGTGGCTAGACAGAATGGCACCCGCCAGCACATGGGTGTGGGTAGGATAGTAGGGCTAATTGGGTTGAACCAGGTTTCAATGTCCATTGACATGTATGAGAGCTGAATGGGATGTGAGACAGATTGAACAAGTCTGCTGTACATACTGACATGCATGAAGACCAGGGTAGGGGCTAGGCCTAAAGGGATTATTGGGAGTTGCCCTGACTAGGCTACAGCTCCCACTTGTTTGCAAGAGGGCCAAGTGTGTGTTGGGCAGAATCAGGCTTGACTGCAATAACCATTGGTTTGTGTGGAAGACAGGGTTAGAAACAGAACTGACCCAGCAAATGCAACCGCCAGCATATGAATAAGCTGATTGGGGCAACAGACTGTGCCAGATCCTGTACTAGCATTCACATACAAGAATCTGGTCTGAAATCACCTCAGACAAAGTTTCTTTGAAGATCCCTCCAATTGAACTGCTCATCTCAGAACTCTAATCTTGATGAGAATTGCAGGTTCTGTGGTCTAACCATGGAGTGCATGTATCAAAGCTGAGCCTCCTCAGAGGCTCAGATGGAACAGTGGACAGCATATCCAAGTGCACATGGAGGAAATGGCGGTTCATCAGAGCCTGCAGAGGACACTTGGTACCACAACAGAGGATGTAGACAGAACAAATGGTCATCTGCCCCAGGCATGTGTTGGCAGTGAAGATCTGGGCAAATGGAGACTCTAAGGTGGACTATGTCAGCCAGTGGATTCTGGAGAGATTTCATCGTGCTTGGAATGGTGAGATTGGTAGCAATTTAGAACTGTTGAACTATCAAAACCTCTTGAACAGTGTCCTCAGAGCATGCCCCACATCACGGACCTGGGATGGGGTGGGAGGTTGGGTGGGGCTTCTCCCATTATCTCCCTCCTTATCCTAGACACACACACACACACACACACACACACACACACACACACACACACACACACTGTGGAGACAATGACCTTATCCACTTTCCTGTAACCCTTGACCCTTTGTGCCCTAATCAACCATGTAAAGATTTTCAAAATAAAAGAAAAAAATGCATCCATTTATGATATTGGATGGCACTGAAATTTAGACTAAGGGATTAAATGATAATAGGGAGGGAAAATTCAATGTTAGAATGTGTTTTTAAAGCCCTCAAAGCAATACTGCAGATTTTCCTTGATTATCTAGGACATTTAACTGGAAAACTGTCACTTGATCTTATCTATCAACTGCATCTCATCTAAACATACTTACTCTGATTTCTTTTACATCACCACATTATTCATGTAGACCCTGACTTCCCACGGAACAGTTACCTATTTGTTTAGTTAGTCATCTGCCTTGCCAGATAAATTTCATATACACTTCCCTATTCTGTATACTTCAATGTGGTCACAATCCTGAAATGGCTCATCTCTGAAAACAAAGGATTTGTTCCATCAGTGTGTGTTATAATAACAGGAATAAGGTATAGGTAATGAAAGGGTTATTTGTAAAGGTGACTGTATTTCTGGAAGTCGGGAATCTCCAGAGACACCTGAGTCCTGTTACCAGCAAAGCTCCTGTTTCCTGAAAGACCAGGAGGGAGACAGGAGATAGGGAGAATCTTGGAGTTTTGGATTTACGGAAAAAACAGCTACCGTCGAGGCATGTTGATTTAACACTGTCTGCCTTGAAGTGACATGATCAGGACCCCTAATCTATACAATGTAAATTCCTATCACATGCTTTCTGTTTTGTGTCCCTGTTAGCCCCTAATCATATATTTGCTCACGGTCATGTAGCTTTTGATTCTCTTACTATAAAACCCCATGATTATTTTGTTCAGGGCACTTCTTGCTTATGGCAAGAGGTTGCCCCCTGGACTAGAAATTAAAATTATGTCACTTGCCTTGGAGTCTCTCTTGGATTCATTGAACCCCAACAAGGTACCAAATGTTTTTTCCTGGATACTGAAAGTCCCAATAGAATTTTTTATTAGAGTCATAATTGAACAAATTTGGTTATGAATTATAGTTCATAATATTATGCTTATATAAAAATATTATTATTGTCTCCAATACCATAGAGGTTTAGTTTATGAAATTGTTTTCAGGATTTAATGATGCTCTTGGGATTGGAGGCTTTTGAGGGGTCCCAGAATCACTGAAAGCTTAATACATCAGGCTTCTGCCCTTCTGAGCTCTTCTCCATCATTTCTACTTTTTAATCTTTTTGTGTAGTCCACATTATATTATCTGTAGGAATAATTAATGTAACATTATAGTTACTGTTTTTGTATAATAAGAAGTTGAAGATATAATATAGAGATTATAGTAAATATTTCTGTGTTCTGTACACATGTGAAAGTTATAAGAAGGTCTGTAGTATTTTTTTTTCTTAATAAAAAGACATCAGATGATTTATCATCAGACTGGCTTAATCCCAGGACCATCCAAAGTGTAGAAGTAAACCAAAGAAATAAATAAATTTTGACATGTGTAAAGCAAATGCACAATAGGAATTTAATTATGACAATTGCCAACACAATATTGGTTCCCTTTGAGGAGCGCTTTCTTTTCAGAATGACTCCTCAAATTGTCTGTACCATGATGTGCTCTTAAATGTCAGTGTGGCTTGAGATTCTAGCAGGTCCTTAGGCTCAACCTCTCACTATGTGACTTGTTGTATACTGTGGATCTCATTTATCTTAAATTTCCTTTCTGCTTTCATAGATGTAGTCTTTTTCTTTTCTCCCTTTTTTTTAAAGGAAGTTATCATATAACTGGTACCTTATCAATCATTTAATCTTTAATACCTAATAACCTACCAGTCATCATCGATGAAACACATGAATTTAGCAACTGTTCATGAAATATAAGGACAGTGGGAAAGAGGACATATTGAATATATCCATCAATTTCTAACCACGTGTTTATTGTGCATGTTCTACACACCACGTATACTACATGCTGGGGAGTTTTGATGCCAGTCATGGAGTTTCTTTCTTTTCTTTTTTTTTTTCTTTGTAGAAGAGTCATGTAAAAGACTCTTTTAAAAAACTCATGTAAAAGGCTGAAGCTATAAATTTGCTTGGAAAAACAGATTACATATTTGTATCAGTGTGGATTAACTTCTCGGCCAGCTAAGCCTCTATAGTAAGGTGTTAGTAAAACACTTGCCACGGATGATGAGTTTATGATAATTCGGACAGGAACATCATGTTCTCTAGGTGAAAACACTGACACATAAGCAGAGCATAAACTTTCCAATTCTGTGATGTTTGCCAGATTTCTGCTCTCCCAACGTGACCACCACTTTAGCCTTTTTCTAAAAACCGAATTCTATCATGTTTAAGAAATTGATTTACACAGAATTGTATCATATTTAAGAGATTTCTTTACACATTAATAGACATCATATCCATGATGCCTATGTTTTGGAAACCAGATCCTTTAAAGGTGAAACGTATTTTGTGACAAGTGACAAAGAGACCTTGTAGATTACAAAAAAAAAAAAAATTTTTTTTGACAAAGTAATTTTAGGACTTATTTTAAATTTTCTGTTATTTGCTTTTTCAAAAAAGATTTAGACAGTGAAAAATTATCAAGAGATTTTCTGTTAAAATACACTTAGCTTGGATGTAGCACAACCCACAGTAATGTTTCTCAGTGTAGAATTCAGTTTGTAGGACAGTCTGCAAATATCCAGGTAACTTAAAAAAAAAACTTACTTATTTTTATTGGAAAGTCAGATATATAGAGAGGAGCAGAGAAGAGAGGAAGCTATTCTGTTCGCCGATTTTCACTCCCCAGAACCGGCACCCATATGGGATCCCTGCACGCTAAAGGTGAGGACTTTACCACTATGCCACTGCGCCAGGCTCTGTATACAGTTTTAATTGCATAATGATGCTTCCCACCCTTCCTTCTATTCCTCCTTATCCCCATCCTGTCTCTTTATTATATTATTTTAAAAATTCCTACAGTGGCATACTTTCTATTTTTTGGCATTAATTTATAGTTGGAATCTTAGAGTTTTTTTTTTATTTGCTTGGAAACTAGGTAGCAAATCATTATGAATTATAGTCACCACAATCTGGTACATATTTTAATACAGGTTGCATTCACTGACCTGCCCAGTAAGAAGGAAGCTTCATGTGCCTTCTTTCCTCTGCTTTCCCCTCCTTCCATCTCATCCAGGATGCTCCTTTTCCTAGCATTCCATGTTTGCCATTTTACTTCAACAATATTTAAGGGTCAGTGGGCAATGGACTGAAAGGGGCAGCACTTACCACTGACCAGGCAACGGTGAGTTCAGATATTTCTGCAGAGATGTTTTGAAAACATGGTATTTTCAGAGTCTGATTTATGTTTATTTCTATTGTATGGCTGCTCCTCCATTCTTCCTGTGCAACTATTTCAAAACAAATAAAGCAAATATGAATATGTTGAATTAGAACATAAAGTGCTTTAATCAAAAGGACAAGAACCTCTTTTTTACAGAGATCTGTCCTCAGAGTCCACTTATAAAGACAAGAGCCAGAGTCTTTCAATTGTTCTCCTTGCATAAATGGCAAAGCTTAGCCACTTCTACTCATCACTGAAAAATTACAGGGAAGTCCCTCGAACAGGATGTAACTTATAATTTGACATGTGCTTCTGCTTTTGTCTGATCAACAGCCTTGATCTTCAGGTAACATTTCCTTGATAAAATAGAATATAATAATTTATAATCTAGCCTCAATTATCCTCTTTAAAATGTTTTATTTAACAGACTGATTTTAGAATAGCATTGGATTCATAGCAAAATTGAGTATTGAGTTACAGACAGCCCATGTCCTTACGGTTCTGTGCTACCCACCCCGAGGATCTCTCCCTGTTGGTATTCAGCACCAGGACAGCTCGTTTGGAATACCTTGTGAACCTGCGCTGATGTGTCTTCCAAAGTCCACAGTTCATATCAGAGTTTATTCTTTGCATGATGCTTTTTGTTGGATTTTACAAGTGTGTTATGGCCAATAGCCATCACTGAGGTAGTACGGAGTGGTTTCCTGGCCCTAAAATCCTGTGACACTGCTATTCATCCCTCCTGTCCACAACTCAGGACACCTTGACATTTTCACTGAATATGGTTATATTTTTAGAAATTATAAACTATATTCCAACAAGTGAATGAAATGGAAAACACATAAGGAGTTAGTATTACTAACGAATTATTCTGATCACTGAGGTCACATGAGACGAATGTGTATATTATGGGCTCTCCCTTTCAGAAAGTTCTATATATACATAGACATTTGTGAATAAACTATAATGACGTCAAAGCTTGATTTATAAGTGGAAAGCAACTTTTTCATTCTTACACAGTAAACATTTGATATATTTTCTCCCTAATCATGCATATTTGTTTGTATATTTATAGTTTTTATAAAATTCTGTTTACCAATAAATATTAAATATATTCTTATGCAGAAATATTTGATTACTCCTAAGCTTTTTAAAAAATTTCTGGAGAGTTAATGTAATTCCATCATAAAAAACCATAGTAATAGTTTCACTCATTTCTTACTCATTTATTTATTTTTATATTTTTCATGATATAGTTCCATAGGCACAGGGATTTGCCCTGTCAGCCCATCTGTTTCCAGCCTTCCACTGTTTTACTTCTTTGTAATTATTAAATTGTCCACTCTTTCAGTTTTTTTTTGAAAAAAAGTTTTTAAACTTTTCAATGCCATAGCAATGTTCATACTTATGGTAAGTTTAATTCCTCTTAAAATCCCTGACATAGGGCGTGGCACAGTAGCCTAGCAGCTAAAGTGGATGCACCGGGATTGCATATGGGAACCAGTTTGTGTCCTAGCGGCCACGCTTCCCATCCAGCTCCCTGCTTGTGGCCTGGGAAAGCAGTCAAGGATGGCCCAAAGCCTTGGGACGCTGCACCTGGTGGGAGACCCTGAAGAGGCTCCCAGCTTCTTGCTTCAGATCAGCTTAGCTCTGACCGTTGTGGCCAGTTGTTGAGTGGACCGGTGGACAGAAGATCTTCTCTGTCTCCACTCTCTCTGTATATCTGATTTTCATTAAAAAAAAAAAAAAAAAAAAAAAACCGGGCCCGGCGCGATGGTGCAGTGGTTAAGGTTCTTGCCTTGCACGCCTGGGATCCCATATGGGCGCAGGTTCTAATCCCAGCAGCCCCGCTTCCCATCCAGCTCCCTGCCTGTGGCCCAGGAAAACAGTCGAGGACGGCCCAAAGCTTTGGGACCCTGCACCCGCATGGGAGACCCGGAAGAGGCTCCTGGCTTTGGATCGGCATAGTATCGGCCCGTTGGGCTCACTTGGGGAGTGAATCATCGGACGGAAGATCTTCCTCTCTGTCTCTCCTCTCTGTATATCTGCCTTTCCAATAAAAAAATAATAAAAATAAATCTTAAAAAAACCCCAACATAGTACCAAAACTTTGCAGTTATGGTATATCATAATCCCCTCTTAATCACATAGCCTTCGTACATCCACTCTCTTACTGTGAAGCTCTGCCCCTGTTTATGCTCACTGGTCACCTCTCTCTCTTCCTTTATTAAATATATGTTTGTTTTACATTTTTTTTCTATTTTCTGGTTACCTCTTGACTGAGTAGTACTTTTGTAAGAAATTGTTCCTGATATCTCATGCCTCATCATCATTGCAATGCGGCATTTGTTTGCTTATTTGACTGATGTCTGTGTATTCTTATTAGAGTTCATGAGGACAGAACATGCCCATATTCACAATACTGTGTCGTTGATGCCTGACTTTATAAGAACTTAAAAAAAAAATGTCAGATGAAGAGTAACCACAAGAATTGAAGGACAGTCAACACTCAGATTCAATAACAAGCTGATCTCCAGACATTGTATTTGTGTGTCTTAGTATGAGATTGTCACCCTTATATTATCTAGAGTGTATGTCTCGTGTTATTATTGCTTATAATAATTACAAACAATATGAATTTCTTACGATAATTACAAGTAATACACGTTTCTTGTAATAATTATAAGAAATAATTACTGTTATTTATCTTCCTAGTACTCCCAGTAGTGATACTATTTCCAATAACATTAACAAGTCTCTCAGGCTTTTGATGTAATTTGGCAAGTTAAAGTCTTGTAATATCCTTTTTCCTGATTTTTCTGTGTATAACATAATATTTTAAAGTGTTTTTACTTATGTATAAGGTGAACAAGCTTCAACTATTTCATATATAATTTGGAACCATCATGATACTTCTCACCCTTCTCTTCCTTTCCCCTGGATTTTCACTGTCCTTTCTTCCTGTAGTTTTTCTTTGAATTTTTAAAATGGCATATTTTCAGCTTACAATTATATACTTAACCTCCCACTAAGTAAAGAATTCAGCAAATACTTAGGGACAACCAAGGTGCCTTAACAGTATAGACAAGAGCTGTAAGCAATAATTAAATCTCAAGATGTCCATTTTGTTTATATACATTATGTTTTTTTGTAGTCTATTATCACAAATCAGGGCATGTTTTACTTTTAAAGCTGAGCTTAATAGCTACGGATGTCTAAATGCATCAAAATCTTACAACCTTGGGGTGATCCTTTCTTTGGCATAATGGTTAACACGCATCTTGAGATGCCTAAATTCCGTATTAGAGTGACTGGTACAAGTCCTAGCTCCTCTTTCTTTTCCAACTTCCTGATTATGTGTGCTCTAGGATTGAGTAGGAGACTGTTTAGATACTGTGGAAATCTGACACTCATATTGGAGACCCAAATTTGGTTCTTAACTTCTGGCTTTGTTCCAGTCCAGTCTTCGATGTTGTGGGTATTTAGAGAATAAATCATCAGATGAGGTCTTTATCTCTCTGCCTTTCAGATACAGAATCATTTCTTAAAAAAAAAATAGCTACTATACAGTAGCATGCAAATTATAGAAAGGTATGTACAAAGCTAATTCAGAGAAAGGCATTTGATAGAATGAAAATCTCCCAAACCAAGAGGGAACTCTTCCAATTAAAATGAAAAAGAAATAAGCACCAACTTGTTTATATATGGCATTCTTATCCATAGCTTCAGTGTGTTAAGGCACACAAGGTCAAAATACTGTGGAATGAGAACAGAACGCCCTCTCAGCGAGTCCCTGAGAAAAATGGAAGCAAGATTTAGACACACACTGCTTTGTGAGTAGAGAAATGAGAATGATTCAGATGACAACAGAAATAGGAATAGGTGATTCACCCAACGGCCTCTGGTCCCTATTATTTCATGTTGAGATTCTCAAACTTCAGTTTGGATTTGTGCATGTACTTCCTAAGTGTTTGCACTGCATTCATGATTGCTTACCCAATAGCTCATAAACTTAAGGATAACAGGGGCCTAAGAGGAAAGTGTAATGCAAGTGAGTGGGGAAAACTAGTAGAGAACAGGAAGACATGACTGGGGGTGACTCAGAAGGACTCTAACATGGCAGTAGACTCCTATGGGTTAAGTGGTGCTATACTTGATTTACATTTTTTGGTTATTTAGTGGTGAAGATTCTTTCCTCTTTATGTGTTGCTGCTTTCTATTTTTCCCCTTTGTATCCAGATACACAATATTAGAACCATCTCTGTACCACTGAGGCTATTGTTTCTCATTTGATCCAGCTCAACAACAGCACAATTCTCAATAGAACACATAGAATTTTCCAACAACAAAGGATACACTTTCCTTGAAGGAAATAACACCCTTCTTTCTGAAGAATATGTTACCTTCTCTTCATTTCTATCTTCCTTTTGAATGATCATATCTTTTACTTCATATAGAATACAGCAATCCTTGTGTCAATTTTGCAGTGGAGAAACAGTGGGCTGTCAAATATGTAATAGTATAATATACTGATATAGACAGAAAGTATAGGATGCATATCTAAAGCCAAGGACATATGTACTTATATTAATGTATAAAAATATCATATTGGATTCTAAATTAGACCATATTGCAAAAAGAGGGGTCATTTTTAGTAAGAAATGAGAGACACGGTTCACTGAGTATTATCATTACTACTCTTAATGAAAGCTACCACTTTTCATACTGCTAACATTTCACAAAAATTGTACTAAGTGATCTACACAGATGATTTCACTTAATCTTCTAAATAAAACACTGCGCTTAAAGGAGGTTTTATGTAAGAAAATGAAAGCTTAGAGACTTGAAATGACTTGGCAACAGTAATGTACAAACAAGTGACAAGTGACAAAGTTAATGTTCAAATCCAGGTTACTTGATAAAGTTTTTATAGTTAGACATTGCTCTACAGAAATGTACATCCCTCTGCTTCAACTCTACTCCACTACATTACCAATTAAAGGGAAGTTCCGTTTCGCTTTTCAGAAAACAACAAAACAAATGAAAAACAACAAGAGCAACAAACCCAGATCTTTGTCAAGTACTAGTTTATGGGATCCTGGCCCATAGGTGGACTGTTCTAGTCAAATAGATAAGGAACACAGCAACATCTGTTGCTTATCCTGAGTTGCTCCATGCTTCCCCTGGCATGGCTTCATAGATTAGTTTCTGTTGGTTTTTCTTATATTGCCAGGTCACTTTGCCTCTGAGCTTAAAATATCCCATTTTCAGTGTATTCACCATTTGTTGACTTTCATTTTCATCCCATGCCATTAGTAAAAATGGAAATAATTTACTCTAGCATCAAGTAATTTAGGGCAAGCATCATTATCATAATTTTCCAAATGGACTCAGAGAATTTATGCAACAGGACATAAATCAAATTCATTTCTAGCCACAAAGCAGCTAGGACCAAACTGCAGGATCCTGCTTCAAATGCATGCTTCTGAACTGTGTGTAATGTGAATGCCCCATGTGTAGCAAGCTCCTTGACTCCTTTGCCTTTCCTGCACAAAATACATTCATACCACTTCTTATCAGTTCATCCACAAAACGAATGTACTTTGTGTTGTCTCAGAGAATGACGCCATGATATAGGTACGCAGGCTAGCTATTTGGTTGCCATGTTCAGTTTTTATTTCCTCTACTCCAATATCCAGTCTATAACCAAATCATATCTGTCTTATACTGTATATAAAATTTGTCATTTTCCTTCTATGCCTACCCAAACTACCTTCTCTACTCTGGACTACTGAGTCGACCTAACTTCCATCTACCTTCTCCTTATTTACTTTCAACTCATGCTCATCCTAAATTCAACATAACCTTTTGATAACATAACCAGGCTACGAAATGCAATGCCATGATTTTGTTGGAATTGTTCAATGTCTTTCCATGGCTCTTAAATAAAAATTAAACCTCTGACATGACTAGAGGTGGAGCATGATCTGCTGCTTGCCTTATCTCCAGCCTTATCCATTCATCTCTACTACAACCCCATCGGTATTTTCCCGTTTCCTCAATTACTACACATCCAGTTGTTCCCTCTCACTGTATCACCCACAACTCCCACCCCAAATGTATTAACGTTTACTCAGACTTCGATCAAGTATTACTTTCTCAGGAACAAATTTTCTGGCCTCTGTTACATGCTTGTTCACAAGACTGCTGTAATCCTTATGATTAATGCTTGTTGTTACAATGGGTCTATTTTACATTTATTTTACATTTAATTGTGAAATTACTTGATCAATTTCTATCTCCCTTATCAAATGATACCTCTCTCTTCGTGCGCTTGGCACCATGCCAGGCACATGATTGGTTCATAAAGTGTATTTATTGGGTGAGTGAAAGCTGAATGCAAGCATGTGTTTTATCCTTCTGCCAGTTATGCTTACTTACCATGTGTCTGAATAACAAGGTTGTAGATTTTTGTCTGAATGCCCTCTGGAAACATTGTAAAGCTACACTGGTAATTTCCGCTGAATGAGGAAGAGATATTTCTTAAGAAGAGTGTCCAATTTGTCACATTTCCAGGAGCCTCTGTGAAAGCCACAAGAGATTCGGGGGGTCTGCCATGGGGACAGTAGAAACCATGCTCTGGGTGATAGACGGCAATAAGGTCCTCCTCATCAGTGACCTTGGACCACTGTGCCTGCACCAGGTGGTCTGTCTTTAGAATTTGGCATGTCAAGTTGGCATCAGAGCCAGGCAGAGCATAAACGACTTGTCTTGTATTGTATTTTTCTTCCCATATCCCTGAAAAGGAAAGAGAGGAGCTATCAATTTGCATAGTTCACATGGAGCTGACTAGTAATTTGAAACCCTGATCACTTCAGTGAGAAAGGGAGGAAGTGATGAAATTTCCCCCTGGCTGCCTTAGGGATAGCAGAGAGCTGCGCATTATCAAGATCGAAGCATAGACTCATCGTACATGAGGAGGCGTTTACTTAGGGAAACCAGAGGAAATTACTGATTTCTGAATAATTACATTTCTGTTCCAAAATTAAAATGATTTCAGCATTTTGACTGTGAATAAAGTCAAGCCTATTCAAACTAAAGCACATGGGCAAACTTAGTATGACAAGTATTCTTACACTTACTATACTGTGCTTTTTGGTTATATATCAACAGCTGCATATAGTATCCAAGTAATGTTTTCTAAAACTGCAACAATAATGAATATGTGTGAGTAGGTTAAAAATACATAATTTATATGGTACTTTAGTATGTTTTATTGTTTAATATATTGTTTCATATATTGTTTCCACCTTGAGAGTGATGGTGTTAAGCCTCTATAGAGACAGAAATTGAGTTAGAGATCAAGCACTTGCTGAAAGTCACACACCAAGAAAGAGGAATTTGGTTGTTAGAAGTCTGTAATATTTCTCTAGTCTAGATAACCTTCAAAGTGCCTCCCACATTTAATAGTTGATGAGGGCAAGAAATTTGACTTTCTGTATATGAGGATTCCAAAGACTTTTGTTTCTATGCAATTAGATCTTTAGGATGAGAGGAAAGGAAACACCAGGGTTGAGGTTCCACTCACTATCTCTCCGTTAACACTTTGAAATACTAGACACAAAGGATGTGATTCCTGCTCGCCTCAGTAACTGACCCGGTGGTAAAAGGCCGCTTCTACTCTGTCAACCATCGTGCCTTTGGCATGCATCCCATAGTGTTGGCCTCAGTTTTAGAATTAACACGGAACACTGCTACAGAAATGCTATATTGTTGTAACAAATGCCAGCCAAGCTCACAAAAAGAAAAGATTAGCGATGAAGAACAACTGAGTAGAAACAAGGCTCTCCAGAGTACTTGACAAATGGGGATTATTACACTTCTGTGGACGCAAAAGTTTGTGTAGATAGCAGTTAGTACACTGCAACTTCCTGTGAGAGCTCTCCTTTGCTTGATAATATGCCTTTGCTGCTATCTAAAGAATTATACTGCAATGTCTTCGTTCTCTTAGAAAGCTTTCTTAGAATCTGCGTGGCTATACCAAGGACATATGGTTAGCTATTAAGACACTCAAGCTCACTCATGGTGGTATTTATTATGCTACGGAGTGCTGAACTAATCTTTCTTCTTTCTATTTTTAAGTAGGCACTGTAGGTCTGGGTTCCTATTGTCATTAGAAACCCACTTTCTCTCTCAGATTTGTATCACTACATGCCTCATTAAAATTCAACATACATTCAACTCCCAAGAATGTTGATATTGGGAGGAGAAATACTTGCTATATGCAAAATTAAAAGGATATTTGAGGCAAAAAAGATAGTTAAGTAAAGAATCCCTGAGCACTGAGTTTTATTTTTTCAGTTTCCAGGACTGTTCTGTCTTTTGGAGAGCTTTTCATTTGCAAGAAGCACAATCTCCCAACTATTCCAGAGATTCTCTTAAGGAAGAAAAGGGCAGAAAAGCCTCAGTGCAGTGGCCCCGGCCATTCATTCCCTTCTTGTTTGCTTTTTGTCCTTAGTCATCCCTACCACCTGGAACATCTCTGCAATAGCTGCCACTTACATATGTAATTGAAGACCTTAGTAATGACTTGCCCTTTGGTGATCAATTTCAATAGCAGTCACATGGCATTTTAAAGGAACACAGGCCCCTGAAAGCAGCAGATCTGATGAAAAAGGACAACCGAAAGGCTTACCACTGACAAAATGAATCTGAATGATGGAATACACCGCACAGAATGTCCGTCTTTTCTCCATTATCTCCTGAAAACCTCACGCCAGCATTTTCATAATCATCACAGAAGTCAATTGATACCTTAAAGCAAACTCCAGGCACCCTATTCGTGCTAAAAAACAAAAAACACAACAACTCCCCCTCCAAAAAAACCAAAACAAAATAAAAACCCAAACCAGAAATTCACGACATGCCTGTGTCTGTGTGTCACTTGGCAAGCCCCCAGGAAATGATACACAGACAGGACCGCATTGTGGTTCAGGGCTAAGTATAACCTTCAACAGAACAACGTCGAGCTGTTCTCTGAAATCTTGTGTATCACCTTTAAAAGACTTTTCAGCATCCAAAGAGTCTCTCATTCAGAATTTCTTTGTCAGTCAAGCTGCTTCTAAAATCCAAACAAAGGCAATCACGCAGAGCAGTTTCCAATGTGCTTTTTATATATTTTGTCTTGAGAGCGTAAAGTCATCTAACAAATTCACACTTGGTGTTTTTCCATAACAATTCTTTTCTGTTCAGTCTGAAGATACCTTTTCTTTTCAGAGTTGCTCTGTGGTGAAAGAACAAAGAATCGACACCTTTACTTTTTACTAAAAAGTAACAAGGAATAAGTGTAGTCTGCAATCCAGCTGCCTTTATGCTCTCTCCTGCCTTTGTGGGGGTAATGCACAGTTCCTGGGAGTGGAAAAGTGAGGACTCCTTTTCTACCCCTAGCTTGGGATAGGTTGGTGTTAGAGGGGGAAGTCTTCCATCACGCTGGCTGGAGTCCTTTTAACTTGCCAGAAGGCTTAATCTGTGCTTATGCTAAAAACTGTACACAGCAAAGCGACAACAATGAGAATCCAAACACAGATAGTCTCTCAGCTCGGCTAGCTACTCAGCCTGTTGCACCTGCTGGGATACCTCCTCTTATGAAGGACTGCTGTTGTATTTAAGGGAAGCGATCAATGGCAAAACCTTCTTGTTATACATGCAAGCACGTGGTATTTCTTATTGGTCATTTCCCAGTGTGAGGTACAGAAGGCTACCCGCACTCCTCTAATATTAAAAAAATATAAAACAAATTGAAAACTGCAGGATAAATCTAAAGTAAAAAGGAAGACATGAATCGATAAGCGTCAGTGCAACCACATGGACAACTGGGGACATGCTCTGTGGTCCTAATCTTATTGTGAGAACATTGGCACCACCCAGGAAATCTGGAGGCAGGTTGAATTGTGTTCCCAGGAAACATGGTTTGAGGCAGATTGTCACTCCACATGTGCAGGTCTCTCCTATGCTTGCGATGAATAGGGGGAGTACAAAGACATCAAGAATCAACCTTTGCCTTCTGGACCGTAGACCCTACCTGGGGAAAGGGAGATTTGTGCAGGATTAAACAAGGGCTGCTCTTTTTCAGGGTGTTGAGGCTGTTTCCTCACATCATCTCTGCAAATAGTTGATGTGATAAATATATCTATCCCTTCCCACTCAGCTAATTCTAGTTTTTCCAAGTCTTTGTTGCCACCATTCTCTGTAAAAGTCTTGGGCTACTGAGATGTGGAGCCAGGTTGCTTCTGACAATGATGTTTCCAAGAAGGCAAAGGGTTTAGAATCCTGCACTGAAGAACAGAAAAGGACACCACTGTTCTGGGAGCCTTCATTTCTTCCCTTTCCCCTGTAAAGTCTCTCTAATCACAGTAACGTTATCTAACTGCCAAAAGAGGCAGCGATGGATAGTATGAGAACCTTAGTCTGTAAATTGTTTATTTCTATAAAATAGAGACGTATTACAAGCTAGGAAACAGGGTTCTGTCACCCCATTACATTTGGGATATTAGGAAGAATTTACCTAAGAAGAAAGATCTAAATTTATTGGGTAATGCTAGCTTTGGAGTGTTTAGAGGTCCCTTATATTTTATTATGTGAAAGTGAAGTGAATATTTAAAAAAAAAAAGCCTTCACACTCAGAAAAAAAGGGAATTGTCATTTATTTGCCAGAGTTATACACACATTTTCAAATAGAACACTTAACCTGATGCACTGAAACCCTTGCCTCAGAATCCTTGCTTCTTTTGAAGTTGAATGTTCCTGTGTTCTAGACAGGTGGCTACTCAGGAAATCTGTCCTGCCTCCCTCTTTGGGTGTCATTCATGGACCTGTTCTTATACTTAGAAATGTCTATGGCCCAAAGACATCAGATTCGACAAAATTTTCTTTGCTATCTGCTCAGAGTGTGAGTAGAAAAATTTCATTCAACCACAAAATATTATGTGAACACACGGAGCCAGGAGGCAGCCACTCCATGACAACTTGCATACAGCAGGTGGCAGCAGTGCCCTGCACACTAGCACACTGCAAGCGCTGGGACTTGCTCCCATTGTTTTTCAATCCCAGTAGTATTTTCTAAAGGTCCTTTTAGCATGGGATAGGCATTCTTTATACTTAAAAATAACTCTTCTGTGGAAGTCATGTCAATCTCTTCTGTTATCCTTCCTGTTCACCAACTCCCAATTGCACATTTCTTTGCCTTAGAATAATCTAAGACTATAAAGTGTGCTGCATATAAAGAAAAAAAAAACACAAAAATCCAGAAGCAATTGATTTCACACACACACACACACACACACACACACACACACAAATCCTGAACTTCTTGAACTTCAGAGACAAATTCAATTTGTTACAAAGAGAAGCAGCAACACACATTTTTTTTTTTTTTCTTTTTTGCTACAAAGGAAGCCATCATTGTATGTTTTGGACCATTTTTTTTTTAGATGTCTAAACAGAATTAATGAGAAAAAGACAGTTTCAAACATTGGAAGTTGAACAAAAACTCACTTGCTTTTGTGGTTTTGAGTGATTAACTCAGACATTACTGAATTTTTTTCTTAGAATTTATTCTTTACATATATTAAAAAGTAAGAATGTGAAGTATTATACGTTTGCTTGACTTCACCGGAATGCTTAAGAAACATGATGCCTAATGTTTCAAGCAATTAAAAAAAATATATGTTGAGAGACAACTCTCAAGGAGTAGTTTTAGAAGACTTGAAAGTCCATAGGATAAATGGCCCGTGCTTTGAAGTTCAGCTTTGGAGATACCATCCATGTGCCTCAAAAAAGGTCAAGTAACACACAGAAGACCACAAGTGGGCAGGCAACTGACCTTCAGAAAAGGGAGCAGGTGGGTCAGGGCTATCCAAAGTGTGGAATCTACGCTTGGCCTTGCCCTACAGAAAGCCAGCTGGTGCAAGCCACAGTGTAAGTTATCCCAGGTAAAGAACATGGAAAGAAACAACTCCTGGATATGCTGAAGTTCAAGGCCATTGCCATGGGTATGTTTTTATATGAGGGAGAACAAGGTATTGATAGAAAAAACTGTTCAAATTGTAAACTGAGATTATGGGAACCTTTGAACTCCAGGCTAAAGTTTTTTTCTCCCTATCAGAGAGAGATACTATAGTTTTTCAGCATTAGAGTAACAGAATGTTTCTCAGCATAGAGTAGCATGTTAAAAGGATAAGTTGGGTGGACATGTGTAGTTTAACTAGTAAGAAGAAAGAGAGACAGAAGACCTGCTGGGAGTTGGATGTTTCTTTAGGCACCTGAGGAGAAGAGTCTGCTGATTGGAAGTGATTATGATAAAGTATGGTGGGGGCAGGGACTTGAACAAAAGTGAAGGGTGGACACAGAATCAAATCTTCTCTTAAGGTAGCTGGTTATTCTATGGCTGGGAGTCCCTGCTGCATGCATATCGAATTTTTCCTTTATGTAGTCACTGGGATTTTATGATTTTAATAAATAACCATGGAATGAACAAGAAAGAATTCCATGAAACTTTGGCATAGCAATCTGTTTTATTACTGCATTTTCCTATTATGCTCAGTTCCATCCACTGAAGGCTATTTTAGGCTAAAATACTTTCCCAATTACAACATGATAGATAGTTTCTTATTAGAAGAACACATTTTAAAAGAATAACTAAGAAAATAGAAATAAGCTGGAGTTCCAACCATCCAAAGACTATCAGAACCGTCATATACATTCAAGACAGCTTATTTCTAAAATGTGAACACCAACCTAAACTTCCTTCATAATGTGTTGTAGATGTGCACACATGTTAGCAAAATCAATGTCTACCTTTTAAAATAGCTGCGTAACAGTTTACTATGTGGGCATAAAGGAAAATAATTTTAAGCAAGATAAACATAAACTTTCCACCAGATATTTCACTTTGAAATGTAGAAACTTCAGTTGAGTAATTATAAGAAGTAATTTTGGATAATTCTTCCAGTGGCAAACTGAAACAAAGGAAGAAAGAGATAAAAAGGATAAGAGGATAGAAAGTCGGAGAGAAACAGGAAGAAAACCAGTCTTGGGAATCTACTACTGATTTAACAATAATACTCATATGAACTTTTCCAGAAATAAATTTAAGAAATCATTCATATTTCTGAAGATATCATGACCACAATTAGAATAAATACTCCCAAATTGAGAGTCTACCTGGCTTCAAAACATTGAAATTCATTTAAGTTGTCTCATTCTATGGAGAAAAAAAAAGTAACTTGAAAAACTCAAGAAGTGCTGCTTTGATTTTAGAGCTTAAAATGTGTGGGCCTGGCGTAGTCGATTAGTGGCTAAAGTCTTGTCTTGCACATGCTGGGATCACATATGGGCACTGATTAGTGTCCCTCCTGTTACACTTCCCATCCAGCCCCCTGCTATGGCCTGGGGAAACAGTCAAGGATGTCCCAAAGCCTTGGGACCCTGCACCGCTGTGGGAAACCCGGAAGAAGCTCCTGACTCCTGGCTTTGGATCAATTTAGCTATGGCAGCTGCAGTCATTTGGGGAATCAATATACAGAAGATCTTCCTCTCTGTCTCTCCTCACCGTAAATCTGATCTGTCTTTCCAATAAAAATAAATCTTAAAATGAAAAAAAGATGATGTGGAACAAAATCATATACTGTCATTTTTTTTGTAGATTACTAGAATAATGTTCTTAACAATAGTTTTTTTTTTTAACAACTGTAAGTTA